TACACATTCACACAGACAGAATATACTTATATTATATGATACATCATACCATACCTACAATATTGGAGAGTGGCAGGCTGTGGGAGTGCACCTTGAAAAACTGCACTCCCAGGAGCTGCCGTCCTGTAACATTAATATACACAGAATCCAAGAGAGATGGATACCTAGCAGATCATCGTCCGTTCCTCCAACTGACCGCGCAGGCGAGGACGCCTTTCCGGACGACGCAGCGTCCGGGCACTGGGCACTGATGGGGTGGATGTGCACGGGAAGCTCTTGAAAGTGGATAGTAGTTGGGTTGGATAAATTGGATCAAGACCCATGCCATATCCGATGAACATGAAGAACATATTCGTGGATATTTATATGGTCTTTGGCGTGTCGGATTTGCAGAACTATGATCTAGATACAAAAAAGCTCGGAACAACGTAACTCTAAATTTCCCTATTCTAAAATAGATGAATGATTGAATGATTCGACTCCCCCGTGAAACTCCAACGATGTGGCCTTCAACCCGGCCACACCGTGACGCCGTCGAAGCACCAGGAGCTCGGTGACTCCAATGACCTGGAGGTCTCTCCTAAGCTCGTCGGTAGTTTCAGAAAAGGTTGCGCAGACCCCATGATGTCCTAGACGGATGGATGTTCACTACTACACCACCGACATTGGGGCCTGTGCCATCTACACCATCTACTCTCAATCCACTTGACCTGAACCTCCAAAGAAGTCGTTCTGGCATGTTCTGGCGCCTCCGTGCGGCTTACAACACGTTTGTTGGCCATCCAAGATGTACTTCCGTGAATGGATGGAACACCCCGAAAGGTCGAAAGGTCAACGGCGGCTGCTGGGTCAGTCAGTGTCATTGCTTGGGCGCCCTGTGAGTTTTTTTGTTTTTTCTTCGAAGGATCCTTGACGATCCGATCGGGGAATACGCAGCGATATGCAGCGATACGCCATGAATGACATGAATAGATAGACGGCGCCTGGTCACGGAAAGTCAGGGCAGCTGGACACCGTCCGTGTTGCCCCAGGCCGGTCCAGAGGCGCGGACCGTTCGTCAGCTTCCGGTGGAGGGGTGCCCAGGGAACCACAAGCCAATAGCCATGCAGTTGACCAAGTAGCACCATTTGTAATCCGTCTTTTTCTTCCCCACCTGGACCAGGTGAGGGTTGTTAGATTTTATGTCAGTTGCCGGCCAAAGTAACTTTTGAATTAGGACACTGAATAGTTAGAGCCCCAAAGTTCTGCGACCATCCACCTGCACGCTTGCAGTTGAGTTTGATGCAGCCTCATGATGGTACCATACTCTGGGATGCTACGCACCTTTCATTCAACAACGTAGAAGCGGACATCCGGCTGTTTGTCCATGTTTGATGTGCACGGGGCACGTCAAGACTAAGAATTGAACATGTTGATTGTGTTCGCGCTGTATCGCACTGTGCTTGACTTGACTGGAGTTCTGAACACACATTCCCACTAAGCTCCAGGTCCACCCCAAATCCTCCAAAACCAGCAACATCCAGCAACAAAAACACCAAATATCACATCCCCAAGCGACAAGACCACACCAACTCCCCCCAAAAAGAATTGACCACCCTTTACCACAGGGTTACCACTGCACTTCCTACCACCCAGTCGACCCAGTCTACCAAGGGCCTCGCTCCAGAACTGCGAGGGAGTGGGCGCCTCACCGGGCGCCCGCTCGGAGAAGGAGTTGTTGACCTTCTGGGGACGCCGGGGCGCCCGAGCGCGCGAGCGGAAGACGTTCGGGCGGCCGGAACAAGTGAGTGGATCATGGGCACCCCTAACCTGGATGTGCAGCACGCCTTTGTGACTGCTGGTGCCAAGCTTCGGGTTAATGGAATTCATAGATGTTTCGTCATGTTTGATCGTTGGCTCCGTCACGTGTGGGGTGCCCGACCCGTCGGCCCAAGGTCGAAGGGACCCGTCGCCGTGGGTCTTGGGCGATCCATCGCTGGTGGGTCGACCTGGGTCGCACCTGACGCCTCAGGAAGCGACAGTATTAGTGACGAGCGGCTGCCAATGATGCTGGTGGGGGGGGCTCAGGTGGCTGTGTTCCCGCCATGCGGGAGAGGCTTGCTCAGGTTTCCCGGTGCTTGGAGTGGCTGATGGTGTTGTTGAAGACTTAGCTCATGTCATGGACCGATTTCGGGTGTGGAACTCAGATTGAATATGAGGTAACAATGGAAGTGCAGAGGGCAGATGCGAAAATGCTAAAACGGACACATTTCCCATGCGAAAGGAGCCAAGATCACAATGTTGGGATATGACTGGATGCATGTCGCATTAAGACCCTTTGACAGCAACCCTGTCAGAAATGTATATTCCTGCCCCTTCATTGTATCCATGAGCGGAGCATCACTCGTCTCGCAGACTAAATCAGACCTTCCAATCGCCCCGCTCACGTGGGCCGTTGGGAAGACCCTGAGCCGAGAAGCTCTACCCTCCCTGGAACTCACATGGAAGTGGAGTTCACCCTTTGTTTGGTTCTTGAGGCTTTCATGGTCTTCCATGCGGCCAGGTTCCACTTCCATGTTAGTTCCAGAGCGTGTAAGACTCCCGTCTTCCACAGGCCAGTTGCTGCGACCCCCCTGGGACTGAGGCCGCCACGTCGCCCGCGGGATACGCGGCAGACCAGCTCGAGGCGGGGCGCAGACGCTGCTGGAGACCCCGAATCCAGAGGCAAGTCATTGTGCCTTTAAGATGTTCTTCTTTCCTTGGTGGGGGGTATGGTCGGCATAGTACTGTATATATTTGTACCCCAAATTATGATGTATCAGCCTGCTTTTGAAGTGGTGTCCTTTTGCTCCAAAATGCTACGACTGGGATGGTTTGCCAAGGAGCCTCAGTGACACGGGGTACAAGTATACCGTATACCCCTCCTGGAAGGGTTGGGATATTTTCATTCTCTAGCAGTTGCGGCTTTTGTGTGTTCTGACGGGAGCTATACACATCTCTTAAATCAGCAGGGCAGTTGCTGATCCTTTCTGAGAAATTCATGCAGTCAAATCCCTGACATGTTGGCACAACCGCCTGACTGGCCCAATTGAGGGATCCCTGAGCCTTACTGTTTTCGCACCTCGCCCCGCGGTGAAATGGGCGCAGCTTTGTTTGAGTGAGAGCCGTTCGTTCGGCTCTTGACGAGTTGGCACCGGAGCCTTGCGTTTGTGCTCGGTGCTTCCATGAGGGCTTCTGAGGTGGACGAGATGGCGGACTTAGACTACGACTTCCATGGAGATTTCGATGACGGCCCTCCACCTCTCCTACCTCTGACGCCTCCAGCACCCGAGCATGCGATCCAGGATGAGCCCGGCCCCTGGCGTTGCTTGAGGTGCCATGGGCATGAGTTTGAGCAGCTAGAGAATGGATGGAAGTGTTCTTCATGTGGCTCCACTGACTACCACAACGTGCGCTACCCCACCAAGACGGTCACTCCCACTGGCACTTGGATGTTTGTTCCCCATACTGCAGGTTCCTCTCCTTCCTCAGCACCTTCGAGGGCTTCGAGAAGATCTAGGAGAAAGAAGAACAAGCAGAGGACGTCAGACAGTCCTCCAGATGGTGGAGATGACTTCGACTTGGAGGAGTCCTACGAACGTGCGGAATCAGAAGCCTTGACACACGACCCGGTGATCGAACCATCACCGGCACCATCCAGGACAGGCAAAGCTCCTCATGCCGGTCCTCCCGGCCCTTCAAAGCCTGGTCAAGGACCAAAGAAGCCTACAGGACCTGGTCTACCTCCTGATCTTCGAGAACCAGTTCATGCGCCGGTAACCGGCAAGGCTGGCCCTCGACTACCACGACCAGCTGTCCTACCCCGACAAGTCGATTCAGCACTACCCGATCTACATGGCACCAACATGAGCTTCACTGGTGGGCAAAAGAAGAAGGACGATGACTCCGACAAGACTGGAGCTTCGTGGAATAGCAGAAAAGGTCCTGAGCCTGGGATCAAGTGGAAGACCGGTCAGTATCCACCGGTCCCATTGTGGAAGTATGATGCCAGTGACTTGAGGGCCTTCGCCAAGTACAAGAAGAAGATTGAGATCTGGCAATTGCAGATGCGGCCATTTGCCTCGGGAAAAGATCAGGCGCTCCTGCTGTACAATAGTCTGAGCGGTGAACCTGAACAAGAACTTGAACACCTCAGTGTGGACGAACTCTACGTCGAGAATGGCGTGGCCAAGATCCTCGAGCTTTTGCAAAGGCCATTTGAGCAGAGACAGATCTACCAGAAGCGTCGCTTCCTCCAGGACTTCGAAAACATGCGCCGCTTCCATGGCGAGTCGATGCGGGCCTATGTCCTTCGATTCCGGAGGGTGATGAGGTCCCTGCGGGCCGTCGGCATCGAGATCACGGCAACCTTCGACGAGGAGGCCCTCGGCTCCCGCTTGTTGGACAGGAGCGGGTTGAGCCACTCCGACCAGCGGATGGTCCTGATAGGTACCCAACAGAGTTTGGCCTTCGAGACCATTGCAGAGACCCTTGCATTGCAGTGGCCTGAGTTTCGTCCACCTCCACCGATCTTCACGAAGGAAGGTAAGGGCACTGGCAAGCATGGCAAGACCGCATCATCATCATCGACTTCATCGATTACCAGTTCGACGACATCAACGGCACCGTCTTCTCGCTCTTCCGGAGGAGGAAAGGGCTATCCGCCCAAGAGGGTCTTCGTTGCTGAGACCTTGGAGGAGGAGCCTGAAGGCGAGGACCTGGAGGCCGCTGATGGAGACTTGACTCCTCCTGAGGCGGACGAAGAACAAGATGAACAGCAAGAAGGCAATGAACCTGAGCATGCAGAAGACGACGACCAGGGAAACCTTGAGCTGCAAGAACTGGCCAATGTCCTGACAGTGACGGCTCGCAAGTTGAGCGGTGTGACATTGGGCCGCAAGTTTACCACCGGCGGCAAGAAGGTCAAGAAGACTCCTGAGGAGCTCCGCAAAGTCACGCATTGTTCAGCGTGTGGAGCCCTGGGACACTGGGCTGCCGATAGTGAGTGCCCAATGAACAAGGGCGGCAAGGGATCCAAGGGAACTGCCAAAGGCTCTTCGAGTTCCTACCGCTCCTCGACCTTTCAGCCAGCCAAAAAGGGTGACAAGCCGCACCACGTCAGCGTAGTCCAACACCATGAACATGGAAGCCTGCAAATCACCGATGAGCCCGAATCCACTTATGGGATGAGCTTTACTACCTATATGGTCTCGGTCCCCTTCACCATCCATGAGATCAAGAACAACACCACCGGGGAAAGCCTCGCAGGATTCATGGTTTTGGACTCCGCCTGTCAGCGAACTTGTTGCGGTGAGATTTGGTTTGAGCACCACAAGAAGTTTTTGGAGCACCACTTCATGACTTGCCACACGATCCCCACCAAAGACATGTACCAGTTCGGAAAGGGAAGCCCTACGGTCGCCACCACTCGTGTGTACATGCCCACGGTTTTTGACTGCAACCCCTGTTTGTTGGGAGCTGGACTTCTACCAGAGGACATTCCACTTCTCGGGAGCAACAGCCTCATGGACAAACTTGGAACCATCATCGATCTCCCGAATCGGTCCGTTCGCTTTACCAGCCTGGGTTGCACGGTTCCTTTACATGTCAGATGTGGTCATTTTTGTATTGCACTTTTTGACGTTGTTCATCACGAAGCAGTTCACTCATGGCATGTTTGGAAAGAGTTCACCAGCCAAGAGCTTTGGCATGACCCTGATCCTGAGCTTCTTTTGCCTCCGAAGCCCATGAAGGATCATCTGACGATCATCGCGCCCAATTCGGAGCCCGGCCATGCAGTCGACGCCAGCACCATGGCTGATCCACTGGAGGCGAATGGTGCATCGCCTGAACAAGTTCAAGAAGAACGTGTGGATCATGATGGCCGCGGCAGTGCGCATGCACATCATGCCCAGAGCATGGTTGGCAGAAGCAGTTCCACCAACAATGGACGTGCCCCCTCATCCAGACAAGTGCGACCACAAGGACATCAAGAGGTACGGCAACATGCACGGTCGCTTCGGCAAGTGCCGCAAGTGCATGCGGACATGGAAGTGGAACGAAAGCAAAGAGGAATGGGTCGTATGGGCTGGATCGGCAGGCTACTCTGCACGGTCGTCGCCATTGCCACTACCGCCCTCCAGCAAGGAGAAGGACACCAAGGTTCCGAAGGGCATGAAGGCAAAGGCAAAGCCCAAGATGAAGAGGAGAACTACCACGAAGCCAACCACTTCTTCCACAGCGGCTTCGAGCGCCAGCACGGAGACTCGTTACTGGACCAATTTCCGGGAGGAGTTCGACCTCAAGATGGACCACTTGACCCCGGAGCAGGACTACGAGGTCTTCCAGATTTGCGAGCAGGGTTCACCACTGGATCGGGAACCTCACAGCTGGGCGCATCACGCTTTCCTGTACGAGGAGGGCTTCCGGCAGGACAGGGAGAAGTTGGAGCGGGACGCCAACATCATCCGCGTCCGGAGAATGGTGAACCTCGGGGTGATCCCGGAGGAGGCTTTGTGGCAGATCGAGGACTGGGAAGAGGAGGACAGTCTCGATTGGGGACTTGTGGACGAGATGGAAGAGCCACTTCCCATCGCCTCGACATGAAGCCTGGCACAGCCAAGCGGCTCAAGGGCGATATGAAGAGGGCCATTCAGGTCTACACCGTCGAGAACTCCACTTACCAGACCCATCATGCTGTTCACCGACCACCTCCTTGTGTTGACCTATGGGAACTCTTTGCAGGTGAAGCCAGAATGACAGAATTGGCTCACCAATACGACCTGAATGCACTCCAACCACAGGACCTTCGTTACGGGCAGGATTTCAAAGATGCCTCCACGAGGGCCTACATCATGGAAAAGGTCAAGAAGTTCAAGCCGTGGTTGATTCCTATGGGTGTTGACTGCCGCCTTTGGAACCAGTTCTCCATCAACCTCAACTGGTCCACTCCTGAACGGCAAGTTCAACTTAAAGAACTCCAACGGCAAGAACGGCCCCTCGTGCACTTCGCAACGGACGTCGCCTTGGAGCAGTACAAGAACGGCCGTTACTTCTTGATCGAGAACCCCCTCCGATCCACACTATGGCAAGAACAGGCACTACAAGAACTTCTTGCGCTACCAGGAGTCTGGTCGACTACACTGGATGCAGGTGCCTATGGAGCGGAGGTTGATGGCCAGCCCCTTTGCAAACCTATGAGATGGATAGGCAATGCTCCTGGTATGGATCTTGCCCTTCATCGCAGGCTGGACGATTTGGAGAAGCAGTACTGCATCCCCATTCAGGGCACGATCACCAGAAAGAGCCAAGTCTACCCGGACAACCTATGCCGGCAGATTTTGCAAGAGTTGCGAGCAATAGTTTTTCAGCATGAGCCCACTCGTTTTGGACGACCACTTCACCATGTCCTTGCTATCTCCTACCCCACAGCGGACTTGGATGCTTGGAATGACATCTCCAACTATATTTCTGGAGCCTATGAGCGTTCCAACAAGAGACCGTTTGACATCCCTCTGGACACCGAGATGGGCAAGAGCATTCAGCAGCTCTTCAGGATCAAGGCCATAAAGATACAAGCATGTTTTGCCCCAACTTGCCGGAGGATTCCGGCCAATGTTGATGAGTACTTCACACGTGCCGCATTCCTGCAGTATGCGGACAAGACACGGGCAGTGGAGGTCGAAGACCTCGACGAAATTCAATTCCCAAGACAGCGCTTCAGCAAGGCAGTAGAGATTGCAGTGTTCGCCTACGGCTTCAGGTTAGAGGCCCCTGAACATCGAGAACAAGCCCAACCAGGTGAAGACAAACCTGCCATCGTTCCAGGGCTCATGACTGATGTTTCTTTCGACACCAAAGAAGCCCTGGACCCAGTGATCAAGCGCTCAGTGGCACGGTTGCACATCAACTTAGGACACCCTTCACCTCAAGAACTTCTTCGTCTACTAGCCTCACAGGGTTCAGTACCATCACTGGTCATCAAAGCAGTGCAAGGACTAGTTTGCTCCACATGCCGTCGGTTGAAGCCACCACAAGAACCACGACCAGCGTCTATGCCTTCTATGGTCGCTGGCCAATTTGGCGATGAGCTTCAAGCGGACATCTTCTACATCCGCCTGTTGACCGGCCAATCCTATCCGATCCTCGGAGTCATCGACAGAGCAACTGGCTTGCACATGGCGGGACTGATGCCTGACAGAAATGCCGACACCGCCTTCCGTGTCCTGGAAGAGATCTGGCTGAGGCCTTTTGGGGTCCCACTCTTGTTGAGGTGTGATCCAGACCACACCTTCAGAGGCAACTTTGAGAATAGACTCCAAAGCATGGGATGCATGGTTGAGCATTGCGCCCCAGAAGCACATTTCCAGATCGGCATGGTGGAGAGGCGCAACGCCATCCTGAGACTGACAATCGAGAAGCTAGTTGACCAATTTGCCACGGTCGAGCCCGAGGACATCCCACGAATCCTCATCGGAGCTTGCCACGCAAGCAACAACATGGTCTATTCCAGAGGCCGCTCAGCATATCAAGCAGTGTTTGGGAGGCAGCCTCGCCTTCCCAATGACGTCCTCTCTGACGACCATGTCCTCTCGAGCTCCACCCAGGCCTTCGACGAGAACTACAACCCCAAGCTTCGCGCAGAGCTCGTGAGAAGTGAAGCACAGAAATGTTTGCTCGACTTGAATGCGAGTCAACAGCTGCGGAGGGCATTGTTGAGGAAGACGCGGAACACCGCCATACCAGATCTTCAACCGGGTCAGCGCTGCGCAGTTTGGCGCTGGTCCAAGAAAGGTGTTCGCAAAAGAGGAGCATGGTTGACCGCAAGATTCCTGTCATGGGATCCAGGCCATGCTGGCAAGCAAGCATGGGTGAGGTTGGGAGCTTCGACGACGTTGGTGACCGCAGAACAGCTCCGTACAGCTCATGGATTCGAAGACTGGACACCTGACCAGTCAGACATAAAGGCATTGAAGAATGCGGCTGAATCCTTCACCCAGCACATGCTCGAAGATGAGAGAGGCGAACCTCCACCAGACGGACCACCAGAAGAGTTGGCAGATGCACCACTGGAGTACGATGCTGCTCCACCGCCTCCAACGCCATCAATGATGGTTCCAGCGACACCGGCCCCAACAACCGCAGCACCTGGAACACCGCCACCAGTGGCTCACCAGCACGCAACGGCTATCCACGTCAACATCGATAGCCCTACCAACATCCATCACCAGCACACCACGGTGCAGATGCAGAGGTTTGGAGACCTTCCCAAGTCTCTGAGCAGATCCCGACGACACCATGGACCCTACACCAAGAGTCCACCACTTCCATCGCAGGCCGCTTCATCCCTCAAGGGGATTAGAACGCAGCCGGATGAAGTTGCACAACAAGCCTCACAGGCAGCACTGGCTGATACATCAGCACTTGCACCGGCAGCCGAATCTTCGGCACCACCTTTGGCAGACAATGCCACGGCCACACTGGGCCATACATCACCGCAGGGCACACAGTTTCACCAACAAGCCATTTTGGCAGAGGACCCGCCTGCCATCCCTACTACACCATTCTCATCCGAGAATGAGGGACATAATGCTCTACACCACCAACAGGAACATGACACAGCGGTAGCAGCATCGGCAGCTGCAGAAGCACATGGCAGACACTCACAGGGTCCGCAACATTCGGCAGAACCTCCTGGCATACCTGTTGAACTACCACCGGACACAGAGCAAGAAGCAGCACAGCAGGAACCCCTGCCGACATTACCACAGAAACGACCGTTTGACAGCTTGCACACACTCTTGCACGAGGCAGACGGCACCATTACCACCATGAACCCAACATGGGGAGGCACACCACCACAAGGGTTCGGCAGAGCAAGCTGCAGGTTCCACAAGATCTACCTCACCACACAGCAGAGACAGCAAGACGTCAACGGAACAAGCAAGCTAGCAGAAGAATCAGACACCAGCGCAGACTCTGACGAGTCAACAAGCACACCAGCAGACAAACACAGCAGGAACATGACACGACAAGAAGCCAAACAACTGGACAGGGAAATCCCCTGGAGGCAGATAGCATCCATGCCAAGGCCTTATGTGGAGAAGTTCCTCGACTCCATCATCAAGGAAGCCAACAGCTGGTCCGAGTGGAGAAGTGTGAAGCCGCTGACTCGAGAAGAAGCCCAGAGAGTCCTCCGCGACAAGATCCTCTCCAAAAGGATCCTCAGATCCAGGGCATGCTACCGTGACAAGAACGTTGGTCAAGGCGAGTTGAAAGCAAAGTGCCGCGTCGTGTGCCTAGGCCACCTAGACCCAGATCTAGAGCTTCTAGATCGGTCAGCTCCCACACCAGGCAGAACGACTGAGATGCTGATGCTGGCAATGATCACGGCCGGAGCAAACTGCGAGCTGTTTGAGACACAGCTCAAATGGCACTCCTGGACGGCAGACGCCGCCACGGCTTTCCTACAGGGACAGCAGCCCTCAGAGCGCCCCATGGAGTTGTACATGTACCCTCCAAAGGACGGCTTGATTGACATGACACCATGCTGGTCACACCCTCTATACAAGGTGATGGGCAACATTTATGGCCTTGCAAATGCACCGGCCTTGTGGTGCAATGAAGTAGTGGCAAGACTGACTAGACTCCACTACACTCGCCACACTTTCGACCAAATGCTGTTCATCAAGCGTGAAGGTCAGCAGATCGTGTCAATGATTTTGGTTTACGTTGATGATTTTTTGGGTGTTTTCAGGAGCGACTACAACATCCAGGAAGTCAAAGATGCCTTTGCCTGGGGCTCCTTCCACGACCTTGCAAACAACGTGGTCACATTTAAGGGCAAAGAGTTACACCTCCACCAACTGGAGAATAAGCGCTGGAAGCTGAAGATCACCATGGCCAAGTTCATCAATGGCTTGGACTCCGCCAAGCTCCCGAGAGGAAGGACTTCCAGTCCGCCAGAATTGACGCCTCTGGAGCACCGTGAGTTCAGATCGGTGTCAGGCTGTTTGCAGTGGGCATCCACACAATGCAGGCCAGAAATTGGAGCTGTGGTCAGCCTGTCCAACCAAGGCAAAGAGACCACGTGCCATAACCTCAAGGACCTCTATGACGCCATGAGCTACCTGAAGAGCTCCCCACATGAAGGGCTCTTGATGCAAGACATCCCAATGAACCAGAAGACCGTCATCGTCACGTTCAGTGACGCCTCATGGTGCAACGCCGCTCGAAGCGGCTCACAGATCGGCATCCTCATCGGCATTTGCCCTCCTGAGGTTCGAAGCCAGCCCACGGCTTTCTCGCCTTTGGACTGGAGGTCTTGCAGGGCGACCAGGGTCTGCAGATCCACATTAGCGGCCGAAGCCTCAGCAGCAGACGAGGCCTCAGACCGAGCGGCCTACTTGAACATGGCCCTGTCCGAGATCCTCTTCAATGGCCCGGCTCACCGCCTTGGCTCCATGGTCGACTATGTCCAGACCACGGACGCGAAATCGCTCTACGATGCAGTGGTGAGCGAGGCACCTAACCTCACGGACAAAAGGTCCCTTTGCAACGTGAGAGCAATTCAGGAGACGGTCGACAAGTCTCATATGCACTGGCTTCCGTCGAATTGCCAGTTTGCTGACGGGCTCACTAAAGTGAGCGAGACCTTGAGGTCCACGTTTCGGAGGTGGCTGAACGACCCATTTGCCATCCTCCTCGAGCACCCTCGCAACGAGAAGTTGCTGGCGGCCATTGCGGGTTGTGCCAAAGAAGAAAATACCAGTGAGAAATTCATGCAGTCAAATCCCTGACATGTTGGCACAACCGCCTGACTGGCCCAATTGAGGGATCCCTGAGCCTTACTGTTTTCGCACCTCGCCCCGCGGTGAAATGGGCGCAGCTTTGTTTGAGTGAGAGCCGTTCGTTCGGCTCTTGACGAGACTTTCAGCACTTGCCCAGTTTGCTCGAAACACTTGAAATTCAGCTGGGTGAAGACTTTGTCCTTTTCAATTTCAGCTGGCTGCGGTCTGGCTGTTATAGTCGTAGTCCACGCCCGGGAAATGTTCCAAACAGCCTGCAGAGAACCAAAGACGTTCGCGTTCGGAGCTGAAAACCGTCACTGATTTTCGACGCAGGCGATCGAGTTGGAGCCGGATTTCTATGCACTCTCCCTGTCACCCCAGGCGGGTCGTGGTCAGAACGCCGGAGCAAACCATGCAGTTTGGGGGCTGGTGTGGGAGCAAACTCATGGGGATCCGCCTTCCTCCGCCTTTCTCAAGAGGGTTTTCTTTCGGACCATGGCCCGAACATGGTGGAACCATGAAGAACCATAGCTCCAAAATTTGGTTGCTCAGCCTTAGCCCCTCACGTTGATGTGCACGGGTGCAATCTCTTACCCAGGTGCATTCCGGTTCTGCTCATTTAATAGAAAACAATGCCTGCCGAACAGTCGTAGAGATGGCAGTGGCAAGGGAACTGTGTTGGATAAGTGGAATCAGAACCATATGTCTACTGCCCTAGGTGGCTTCATTTAGTATGAAGTTTGGATAAAGTGGGCTTCTCTCACGTTTGTTGGATGGATGTAGGCATCTATAGCATCATGATTATATAATATATATTCTCTATATATGATCAGATGTAGCACCAGTTACATGTACATGACATAGTAGCTTGTATAGATGTATGTTTCACTGCAGCCGTTTGTTCAAGTTTTGTGTTCATTTTAATCTACCTGATCATTCAGGCGTGAGCTAAAAGTGCGCCTAAGCTTCGAGTACAACCTTTGGGACTGTGACCCTACGTCACTGAGTTTAAGAGCCTAAATTCTCCGTTCATGGTAGCGGAGCCGCGGTTCTAAGACCCGGCTACCGTCTGTGAATCGAAGGTTGCCGAGCCGCATCGGCTCTGGCACCGGAGATCTACAAACACAAGCATCACTTGCAGGAAAGCCGGATTGCTTCAATCCCTGGCTAGCAAGTCAACATGGCGCAACAGACACCTTTGGCCAAGCCAAGTCAAGAGGAACTCCAACACGAAGAAGTTCCGCTGAGTGCCGAAGATGCAACGATGTATAGATCTATTGCTATGAGAGCCGCGTATTTGGCACAAGATCGACCTGATCTGCAAACTGCAACGCGCTCGTTGGCGCAAGGTCTACAGAACCCAACATCGAGGCACTGGAATATGCTGAAACGATTGGCTCGATATGTCAGGTATCGACCAAGAGTTGCACAGTTGTTTCCAAACCAAAGCACCTGCAACCCCTTCAACATGTGGTCAGACGCCGACCACGCAGGTTGCATAAGGACACGAAAGAGTGTGTCAGGAGGCGTGCTCATGGCCAACAAATGCTGTCTCACTACATACAGCAAAGGCCAAGGAGTTGTCTCCCTGAGCAGTGGCGAATCCGAGTACTACGGACTTGTTTCCGGAGCATGTCAGATGCTTGGAGTTGCATCAACTGCAAGAGACTGGGGATTGTTTCCCAGCAAAGGTGACAATGGACGCTTCCGCTGGCATCGCCATGGGAAACCGTCGAGGCTTGGGACGAGCTAAACATGTTGACACTCAGTACCACTGGGTACAAGAGCGCACAGCAAAGAAAGAGTTTCGTCTCAAGAAGGAAGGCACTGACCGAATGTTGGCCGACGTGCTAACGAAAGCTGTCACCGAGGAGAAAATGACAACAGCCATGAAAGGCATGAACTTCCACTATCTGGAAGGTGAGCATGAGCTGACTTTGAAAGCGTGAACGGCTTGAGCTAGAGTAGGTACATCTTGGTCGTGAAGAAGTACTGAAGGGCTACAAGCTAATTCACTAACAGTGCTAATCCTGACTCGCTTAACTTCTGGGAGATGTTAAACTCGGGAGGCGTGATCAGATGTAGCACCAGTTACATGTTCATGACATAGCTTGTATAGATGTATGTTTCACTGCAGCCGTTTGTTCAAGTTTTGTGTTCATTTTAATCTACCTGATCATTCAGGCGTGAACTAAAAGTGTGCCTAAGCTTCGAGTACAACCTTTGGGACTGTGACCCTGCGTCACTGAGTTTAAGAGCCTAAATTCTCCGTTCAATATATATGTATATACATTACTATATGCAGAATGTTTCAGTCATTCCACAAAGAAGGACGTGATGGGCTCAATTGATTCATCCTACACTTGACCGAAAGATCGCTCTTTTGGATGTTGATGCTAGTGGTTGTCATCATCGACATTTGGCTCATCATCATCATACCCCCAAGGTGATGGATCATGATAGATCAACCTTCAGGGTGATGGATCAAGGTGATGGATCTCATCGTCATCATCATCATCGTCGTCGTCGTCGTCATCATCATCATCATCATTCAAGGTGATGGATCAACCTCCAGGGTTCCACATTCTCGCCTTTTGCTCGCAGGCGTCCTGTTGGGCAGCCTTTTGTGCGCCCATCATTTCAGCCATTGCCCAGCTGGCAGCGTGGATGCCAAGCGGAGCTGGGCGCCGGCGCTGGGATGATGGAAGTCGATTCGATCAGCTGGGATGATGGCAGTTCGACAAGGTTAGACATGGCGTACATGCTAGCATTGGCGTTTTTGGATAGTACCTTAGCTCAAAGACTCTATCTAGCAGCTATACCAAATACAGCCAAATACCACAGACCAAATGCTCTAAGACCAAATGCCGCCCCTTGGCATTTCTCCGATGCGTTGGTTGAAGGCGGCCACCCCTCCGAGCCGGAAAAACATCTATCCGCCGTTGAACACCAGGGAGACGATATGGTCTCATGCCTAATCACTGGTTCCCAGAATGGGTTTAAGGGATGTATCAGGGAACTACAGGACACCCATAGCTTGGGAAGGTGAAAACAAGGGTTCCCTCTCAATGTCTCCCTTACACCCATTCGTTGACGGGTGCCCTTTTCGAGCAGACGGCGTGCGCATTTGAGCCACTACCATGTCGCTGGCGCGGCGCTAGGCTTGAGCCACTTGGCTCTTGCATGTTTCACCCCAAGGAAAGCGGCCTCGTAGCCCGAAGAGGGATGGATGTGACAGACCCTTCACAGGATGGATGTATTATGGATGTAATGGACCCCTTGCAGGTTTTTGGGGTGAGAAGGCCTTGCAGGTTTTTGGGGCTAGTGGACTGAGTCAATCCCCTTCCAGTGAAGTGTGTTTCTCTTTTTTCTCCCAGGTTCCTTAAGCAAATCCAAAGCTGCAGAAGAAGGGCTTTGCTGAAAAGATGTTGGTTCTGGCACGCCCTGTTCCACATCGCTGTGCTGTGCGCCCGCAGTGCGCCGCGACCCATCCGAGCCTAGGCCCCCCATCCGAGCCTAGGCCCCCATCCGAGCCTAGGCCCCCATTTCATGAATCCATCGAATTTTTCAAGAAGGCTTTCGGACCAAGACATGCCACCATTCGATCTTGGGGTCAATGAACCGACGGGACCTTCTTGGCAGGTGCTGTACTTCTTAGCCTTCCAGAACGAGAACATGTTCGAGGGCGGCAAGTGGAAGCAACCGATTTCACCTTACGGGAGCCGCGAGAGGGAGGGAACGACGCGGCGAGGAGGTGAGTCACTCGTCCTTGGAGGAGGCGAAGCGTTCGGTGTTCTTTGCGTTCGGTGAGGGAATCACGGGAAGGAGGTGTCTGTTATACAGGAGCTTTCTCTTTAAGTCTTTAGTTGGCAGGTTGGCTACGTGTGTTTGCATAGTGTATACTTATCTTTACATGTGCTTGTAAGAGACAGCATATCTATGCATTTCTGATATTTGTTGATGGTATGTTCGACATAGGCTTCAATGGTGAATGGTGTTTCTGATTCATGGGCAGTCATCGAGTCAAATATTGCACCTCTGGAAAAGCAGCGCTCATGGCCTTAGTGGGCATAGTGGGCCTTCATTACACCACCTGAATCCACCTGGGTATGATTTTGTGGGGCTGATGTGTGAAATATGCTTGGGATAGTAGGTCATCGTTCTTTACGGCGGGTCTGAGACTGACCCTGTGGGTTTGCGAAGAAGCAGACAACGTCCCCAGCCGAGACCGAACGCCAAAGGGTTTATTAGTTTCAGTGAGATGGCCCAAATCCGAACATTAAGTGATGTAGTCAATATAATATGCTTGGAGTCACTTTGAGTCCCTTGGTCCATATGTGTGCAACTTTGGGCTATATAGAAGTATATTCTTCCAAAAGAACAGAGGTGCGCAGGACGGTCACAGAAAAA